GAGAGAGAGAGAGAGAGAGAGAACGCTTTCTTGTGTCTCGAACATCGACAGTGAGTGCCAGTCCCAGCGGACACTGTGCAACATTAACACCTCCTCCTCGCGTGTATTCATTCATAAATCACAGAGCGATGAGGTATAGCGAGTGCTATCGACAGCGTTAGAAAATTATTCTTAGAAGTTTCTCTTCGCTCGCCGCATGATGCAGCTAAATGATGCAGCTAACTGCACGACAATGCAGCGCGGTGGTTAATTTGCGCCGCGGTATACGAAGTACGCAGTATAGCAGACAGGGCCGTACGCAGCAGGGGGGCAGCAGGGGCAGTTGCCGCCCCTAGAGATTTTCAGAGTATGCCTTTTAATGGGACAAATAGGTCAATAGAGGGCGTGGGGAGTACCTTTGCCCCCCTACAGAAAATTTCCTGCGTATTTGCCCCTCTACAGAAAATTTCCTGCGATTGCATTTTGCGATTTGATAGCAGACGAAGATGTTATTGAAAATTTGTTTCTCTTCGCTCGCCGCATGATGTTTGCAATAACATCTTCGTCTGCTACTGCGTACTTCGTATACTGCGGCGCAAACCATGCAACCACCGCGCTGCATTGTCGTGGAGTTAGTCACTCGCGCTCACTCTGCTGCTGCTTGGAACTGTTTACCGTGTATAATATTATGTAACATTCTCCACCCGTCACCACTTCCTACATTTTTGCGAAACACACGCTTGTGGGCGTCCACGGCCCTTAGTGAGTCAGCGTTAGGAAACAGTAAACACCGGCTAAATGGCAAACCGTTGCGCGAAAAATATTAGTCCATTGATGTGATGAGTAGTCACCTCGCAAACGCGAGAATTGTGAAAAATATTTTGATATAATGTATATTATGCCGAATAAGAATGAGCAAATGTATCGCATTCTCACAAAAATTCTTTAAAATGTGAATGACTTTTTGTGCGCACAGGGCAATTTACAGCAACGATAAGATAAAAATGTATACACATATCAGTAGCAAGGTAAAGCCATGTAGAAGGGAATGGTAGGTTTTTTTTTGCACCAATAGCGGTGTACGGGCCGCATTCTCAGCGCATGCATTTTGCATGCGATCTCACGAAATTTCAATGAACCCCGTTCTGTCCCAATATAACCCTCACCAAAATATAAAAAAGGTTATATGGCCCATGGGACAGAATTATTCGGTCTAGACTGCCTGCTACTGTGCTAGTACTAGTAGTAGTAGTAGTAGGTTACGGAGTACTCCTATACCTGCCCATACTATAAGGATGCGACAAAAATGGGTCAAAATTTCGTCACAAAAAAGCCCGTAACTCGTCACAGGAGTGGAATTTTTTAATTCTGTAAACGGATCTCTGTTTCTTGTGACTGGGGCTATCGAATAAGCTTAAAAATTCCATTGGGGGTTATTTATAAAAAAATGACCTACTATCCCTACGTACACTGTACAGTGTGTGCTCAGTTAGTGCCTACCTATAAATGTAAGAAAAGTTTCCCGTATAAAACTGTCGAATAAACTCTTTAAATCGTCTAAGCGTCGCAAGCCTATTAATTTGATCTTGATTGTTGTCATCTTCTGCACCAAAGTTATCACTGAAAAACAGTCCTGGGTTATCAAAACCTGCCATGTTTTGTTTTGTTGTCTACTCACTGAATGAAATCACGTGTCATCAAATTTGGCGCGAAAACTTAGCTGTAGCGCCCTCTGTACTTTTTTTAATATGTAAAGGAATCATTTATCAATTTTCGCTTTATTTTAGTATTTTCGCACATTTTCAAGACTTTCACAGCAAAGAAAAATTCTAATATGTGAGTATTGAATACTTTCAAGCATAACACTTCAGCTATTTATATCCAAGACGATTGCATAAGAATATGTGAACAACTATAGACGCATGGTGTACCTCTTTCCTCTCCCCTCCCCCCCTCTCTCTCCATATATATATATAATATATATATATATATATATATATATATATATATGTGTGTGTGTGTGTGCGTGCGTGCGTGTGTGTGCGTGCGTGCATGCATGTGTGTGCGTGCGTGCGTGCGTGATCGTGGAGAAGTAGCGTCTAACTCTATAACTCACAACCAGTTATGTACGACGGGATATTCTTATCGACCCTATGATATTCACGCATAGGTACTTGTCCGTGTTTTCGTGAACGTACTTCCGCACGTGCGTGCGTGCGTGCGCGCGCGCGTATGTGTATCTCCGGGGTTGGCCAAGCTCTCTCTTGCAACTAATGCTCCTAATTGCGAAATCACCGTGGCACTACTTGTGTAGTAGACCTTATATTGTGGATATTATTCGATCGATGTCGGTCAATCATCATCATCTATCAGATTTTTTCTCCGTGAAAAAAAACTGTCTTCGATACATGTAGACCTATTTGTATCTGAATTACGTGCAATAAAGATTTAATAGTAAAAATAATAATATAACATTTTGTCTTTATCCTGTTATTCGTAGAGCAGCGAGAACCCAACAAGCTGTGAACGACAAACAGAAGCTGGACAAGGAAATGTTACAGAACCCACCGATGCAAGCAAGACGTTAGATGCCCCGGGGAATACAAACAGGAAAACATGATATGCGTCATTAGATACTCGGCGAGATGCGTCTAATCTGAAGGGATGCGCAAACGCCTTGACATTTTTGCGCACTCGCGGTAAAACAAAGTTACGTATGTGGTGAGGTTATATTTTAGTAAATAACATCATTTCTTCTCGTCAGCTGTGTGACGAGATTCTCTCTTATAAGATATTGAGCAAGTAAAGGTGGAATCTGCACGAGTCAATCAAATGCGCCATGCGCCATACTAGAGGTGATAGGGTCTATGTACCCCCGGGTACTATCGGAGGGTACCCTGGGTACGGTTCGATATATCAGAAAGTACCTCGGGGTACTATACGATGTGTCGCTGCGTACCCTGCATTGTCCCACCGTACTCTGACTCTATGCTCCCGTTCCTTGTTTCCGGTTCGTTCCCGCAAAATATTCGTTTCAGTATTCACATTTCTTCTGGAAATTGTATGGTATCGCCGTGTAATTATGCAACATGCAGGTTGATAGCACTGTTGTGCCCGTTGGTGGTGTACATTTGGAAAGATTTCTCTCAGATCATGAATATTTGAATGATATGAAAATGAAAATGGAAATGAAAATATGAATATATGAAAAAGGAAAAAGAAAATATAGTCAAACATAGCATACATTTTTATTGGATTGCGATGTTTTGAGGTTTCTTCTATGTAATGTGGTAACTTGACAGAGTGCAAGTATTACGACATCAGTTGGCTGAAAGTCAGGGTACTATCGGAGGGTACCGGGTAACCCTGGGTACGCAGCGACATATCGTATAGTACCCAGAGGTACTTTCCGATATATCGAACCGTACCCAAGGTACCCTCCGATAGTACCCTGGGGGACATAGACCCTATCACCCATACTAGACACGCGAATATAGCTACATAATTATATGTATAAAGGGGGCGTACAACAGTAATCTTCCGCAAATTGTCGTCTAATTGCACTATTTCCTTTCTGGAAAAGGCCTTATTTTATTTTTTTCGGTAAAATGCGACACTAGAGTGCACTAATTTGCATTATGCACGAAAGATAGATGCCTCGTGGACGTCTAGAAGGCATTAGAAATAAGATTGGTCGTATCGTTTAGGTAATTGTGCCATTCCGTCAAGTGGCGTAGCTATGGTGACGGGTCGGCCTTTTTTGTGTTTGAAAGGGGATCCGACGACTTTGTAAAAATGCACATCATTTAGCTTGAAAAAAATTTTGAGGGGGAGTATAGGAGTTTTATTCTGTGGTTATATAACATGAATAAAGTGTACGTTGTGTATGCGACGAAACACTGTGAGTATTTTAATTAATTTCTGTTCGATGCTTATTACAGGCCTGCACCTAAAGGGAAGGGGGTAAATTCGTCACGGGGGGAAGGGCGCTCGTGTAACACCTGTCGCATGTTGTTCGCCGCAGTCTACCCTTCAGTTTCGCGATATCCTATATATAGATATCTCTTTCTTGAGTCTCGCGCTATCCTATATAATTATATAGAGAACTCTTTCTTGTGTCTCGCGCTATCCTATATAATTATATAAAGAACTCTTTCTTGTGTCTCGCGCTATCCTATATAATTATAGAGAACTCTTTCTTGTGTCTCGCGCTATCCTATATAATTATAGAGAACTCTTTCTTTGAATTGAGTGAAGCCATTTTTGCCGTTTGGCTCCATTTTCTGTGTCCCTCTGGTGTATGTTATGTCCGTTACGGTAATCTCTCTTCCTCTCCTCTTCGTCTTCCTACATCTCTTCATTGCTATCTTCATACTCTTCTTCTCTCTCCTCTTTCTTCGTCTGCATCTTCACCTTGCCTCTTCTCTCTGCGTCTCGTCTCTCTTCTCTCTCCTCCTCTTCTCTTTTGCTCTCTCGTCTCTCTGCTTCTCTCTCTCTCGAGTCTCATCTCTCGTCTCTCGTCTCCTGTCTCCTCTTTCTCTCTCTCTCTGCTCCTCTCTCCCCCTCCTCTCTCGTCTCTCTTCATCTCTCTCTCTGCTGCTCTCGCGCTCTCTCCGGTCGTCTCTCCTCCTCTCCTCTCTCTCCTTCTCGTCCTCTCTCACATTTCTCTCTCTCGGTCGTCTTCTCTCTCGTCTCTGCCTCTCTCTGCACTATATTATATATTATATTATTATATTTATGAACTGTCTCTATCATTAAATCTAAACAAAAGCGAGATATCTGCATTGGCAATGCTGTTTAGCTTAGCAGCGTGTGGCATTCCTATTTCGGGGATGTATATATTATGAATGATAAAGCTGGCCTGTGCGCCAAGCGGCTGAGGCTTGGAATGTACAAATGATAAGGCTAATCCGATAGTAAATAATCGCATAATTGGATAACCACGCTAGACGTTTGCCGGCATCGCTGCAACTAACGAAGAGCGAATTTCATTGTTGTCACGGATATAGTTTGGAACGCAGGCATGGCGAGCACAGGCGCAGACGTGGACAGGCTCCATGGTTGCTGGTTACTAGACAATTGGCAAGTGTAATTATTGTCAATGTGCTGTTACTGACAATTGGGCCAGTTGTCAATTGTCAATGTTTGCTGTTACTGACAATAGTGCGCATTCTTGTCATTGTCATGTGCTGGTACTGACAATTGCAGTTTTGTCAATTGTGAATGTTGCTGCTACTGACAAATTGTCAGTTGTCAATTGTCAATGTTTGCTGTTGCTGTTAACTGAGAATTGTCCAGTTGTCAATTGTCAATGTTGCTGTTGATGATCGTTGTTGCCACTTGCCGCATGCGTACGCTAACTGCCGACATCGCTTGTTTTTCCAGAGTCCACTTTTTTTTGGGCTAATTTGCGCTTATTCGCAAAATATTGGAAATTGATATAGCCCACTGTAATGTTGCAGCTTCACGCACGCCAGGTGCAGATGAGCTTCAAAATATATTGGATCTTCGCGCGGGGCGTATGACCGCCAAAAATATGTTATAAAATAAAGCGTTTTCGTTGGCGTGCGACGGCGAGGGTTCGCGACGAAGCGGGAAGCTTTAGCGGGAAGTAGCACAGAGTTTATGATGATCGCTATTCTTAGCGGCCACACGGGCATCTTTCAATATTTCGGTTCGGCATTTATATTAGTGTTGTTTTTGTGCCGACTTTGGCTTGTCGGCGGCGTGCGCGGAATGAGTGTATGCGTGTGTGTGTGTGTGTGTGTGTGTGTGGTGTGTGTGTGTGTGTGTGTGTGGTGTGTGTGTGTGTCTGTGTGTGTGTGTGTGTGTGTGTGTGTGTGTGTGTGGTGTGTGTTGTGTGTGGTGTGTGTGTGGCGCGCGCGGCGCGGCTGCGTGTGGTGTGTGGGTTGTGTGTGTGTGTTGTGTGTGTGTGTGTGTGTGTGTGTGGTGCGCACGCGCGCGGTGTGATTGTGTGTGTGTGTGTGTGTTGTTGCGTTTGTGTGTGTGTGTGCGCGCGTGTGTGGTGTGGGTGTGTTGTGTGTTTGTGGGCGAGTGTGTTTTGTGTGTATCGTCGTACCGCGGGATGTGAGAACATGATCTCACAGCTGCCGTTGGCAAAATAGCGTATATATGTTCCTGAATGTGCGAACGGAGTGGTCCTTTCTCCTTTTGCAAAACAATACCGTTAATTGAGAGTGGCGGCAAGATTCATATCAACATCAACATCAATCAACATCACAGCACCACACATCAAGCATCAACATGCACATCAGCTCAACATGCAACATTAGCATTAATATTAACATTAGCATTAATTTAACATTAACATCAACATAAACATCAACCTCAACATCAACATCAGCATGCAGCATCAGCATGTCAAGCATCAGCGATCAGCATCAGCATCTACGATCAGCATGCAGCATCAGCACATCAGCACTCAGCATCAGCATCAATTAATTAAATATTTATTGGATCCAGGATGGCAGCTACCCAAAATTGTAAAATCATTCTAATAGTTTGCCCCCCATTTCTTGGACGGCCTATCCTGAAAATTTAATTATTACTTGGATGCCGGATCACCGACCACATGTAATCAATTCTAAGTTACCCGCATATTCTGACGCTAATGCCTGAAAATGTCATTAATTAATTAATTAATTAATTG